CTCATTATGTCATTTAATCCTCCTAACACCCATATGAAGTGGCGATTACTTCCAAGCAACAGATAGGGAAATGGAGGCCTCGACAGGTTGAGTGAGTTGTCTAAGGTGAGTGGTAAGTGGTTCAGCTGGTCAGTGGCAACCAACTGTTGCACAGAAATGTATAATCCATATGTACTGTAGAAATTCTGAGAAACAGAAAATTATCTGTATTAGGCAGAGTTGTCACAGAAATTTATGGATTGGACTGAATGCCTTGAGTGAAGTAAAGGATTTAAATTTTTGGCAAAAAAATGAGAATTTCAGGAAGAGCCATCGTGAGTCAAGCAATGAAGCTGGACTGATCACGGCCTCTATGTGCCAGTGTGCCAGGTGCTTGGCAGAATAGTGGGAGCGAAGGCTGGATGGGAGGCTTAGCCAAAAAAAGTAGTTTGATGAAAACGCTTTCTCTCACAAGATTCTGGATTTACTTCACCCAGAATTTTTTTCTCTAATTACTTTTGCCTCTTTCAACATTATGCATACTTTAGCTGTAACCAATATTTATTGAATGCCTATTATGTGTAAGGGACAGTATTAAGTATCTGGACTTGTTACATATTTGTTCATACTGTTTCTGTCAGGTAGGGGTTCATGCCCTTATTTAGAATGTCCTTTAGCATTAAAAAATCATGTATACATGCACATAAAGAATCTAATAGTCTTATAAAGGTTCATTACCAAAAAAAGCATACCCTTCCCCCATCCTTCCTTCCTCACTTTTCCTTCTTTTATCAGATTATTTTATTTCCATGTCGCTAAATCATCTTTTAAAAAAAATCCTAACTGAAATTTTGCATCCTTTGACCAACATCTCCCCAATCCCATACTGTGCCCCCATAACCCCCATTCCACTCTCTATGAATTCTACTTTTTAGATTCCACATAAAAGTGAGATCATGCAGTATTTGTCGTTTTGTGCCTGACTTATTGCACTTAACATAATGTCCTCCAGGTTCATCCGTGTTGACACTTAGGTTGATTCCGTATCTTGGCATTGTGAATGGACATGGGAGTGCAGATATCTCTTTGACATACTGATTTTATTTCCTTTGGATGTCTACTCGGTAGTGGTAGTGCTGGATCATATGTTAGTTCCATTTTTAATATTTTGAGGAACCTCCATATTGCTTTCCTTAATGGCTGTACTAATTTACATTCCTACCAACACTGTGCAATGGTTCCCTTTGCCAGCACTTATCTTTCATTTTTTATAACAGCCATTGTAACAAGGTCAGGTGTTATTTCATTGTGGTTTTAATTTGCATTTCCCTGATCACTGATGTTAAGCATTTTTTTTCATATACAATATGTTGGCCATTTGTAGGTCTTCTTTTGAGAAATGTCTATTCAGGTCCTTCACTCATTTTTAAATTGGGAAGTCTCCCTGTTACTGAACTGAGTTCATTATATATTTTGGATATTAATTAGATGTATGGTTTGCAAATATTTTCTCCCATTCTGTATGTTGTCTCTTCGCTTTGTTGTTTCCTTTGCTGTGCAGGTTTTTAGTTTGATGTAATCTCTTGATTTTTAATTTTTAGATATTATCCATTGATTTCCCACTGTGGAAGATAAGATTGAGATAACTTTTCTACCTTTCTACAACACTATGTCTTCTCCCAATATAATTATGTTGTAATTTGATTAGAGTAATATTTACTATTAATATTCTTAGGCCATTCAGCCACTGATCATAGTTTACTTTTTCTTTTCTGCATAATACTTTGCTTTCCTGAATAAGTTTTTTGCTTGATTTCAATCTTAGAGAAGTTTTTGCTTAGAATCAGCATCATCACTCGAACTCTGGGGCCTTGAAAAACATCTCCTCATCCCACCTTTGATTTCAGCCAGAGGCAGTAGACAGTTCCATGGGAACTAAGACTCATCTCATACTCTTTCAGCTTTCTGCCTCAGGGCTTTCTTGGACACTTAAGGAGCCTAGTAGGCTCATGTACAAGCTGCTCCATGTGTAAGGAGATAATGCTCTTGGCAGCAACTTAACCAGTGAAGAATGACAGTCTACAGATAAATGCTCCAGCCACTTTGTCTTTCAGGAGACATTTCTGGGAGCTATCACATAGCTTTTTTGTGGACCTGGTGTCTACACAGCAATGACCTCAATAGCACACCCTTCTATTGACTTTTCCCCCTTCTCCACCTCAGTATCACAAGTCCTTCACTCCTATTTTCTGGGATCTCTAAAATAAACTAACCCATGTTCTTAACTCAGGCTTTATTAGAGGAGGAAGCTCTTACTCTGCTGGTTGTCTCTTAAGATACTGAGATGCATCAGATGTTTTATTAGTTTAATCTTTCTGAAAAAGTATCATCAGGATCTTCTGATATGCTTCAATATATTCTCTATGCTTGGTGCAGTGTTCATCCTCAGATACTCCATCACCTTCATCTGGGGATTTCCTTCATCTCTCTCCTGTGCTGAATCCCATTTTCTGCATCCTATGTCTTCATTTTGCTTGGTTTATACCCTTATTTTTATGAAGCACATCCTCTATTGGCTTCTTGAGAATGGGTATATGGGAGGTAAATCTGTTGAGACCTTGTATGACTAAAAGCATCTTCATTTTACCTTTATGTAACATTTAGTTGGATACTGAATTTCAGATTGGAAATGTCTTTCAAAGTTTGAAGGCACTGCTTCTATTGAAATTTGAAGCTATTCTGATTCTCGTTCCTTGGTGTCTGACCTGCTCTTTTTCTCTGGAAACATAGCAGATCTTCACTTTGACTGCAGTGTCCTTGAAATTTCATAATGATATGCTTTGGTCTAGATCTTTGTCATCCACTATGTGCTTTCAATCTAGAATCTGATGTTCTTCAATACTGGAAAAACTTACTGAAATATTCTATTGATTTCTTCTCTATTTTCTCTGTTCTTTTTGGAACTCTGGGAGATTGGATATTGGGCTTCCTGGGCTGTTAATTTTTTTTCTTCAATATTTCCACTTATTTGTCTTTTTGCTTTAGTTTTTGAGAAATTTCCTCAACTTTATATTCTAAACCTTCTAACTGAATTATTTATTCAGCTATACTATTGTATTATTTTCCAAGAGCTCTTTTTGTTTTTTGAAAGTTCTTTTGAAAAGTATTCTGCTCTTGATTCATGATTGCAACAACTTTCTGAAGATATTTTTTCCTTTGACATTTTCCTTACCCTGCATAGTCTGTTTCCTCTAAGTGCTTTTTTCCCTGATTGTTTTCTCTTTTTCATGCAGCGGCTTTGGTCAGACTTCTTATAATTCTTTGTTGCTTACTCATTTTGTTTTGTTTTGTCTGCTTGTTTTTAATAGCATAGGACTAAAAGACTGACTGCAAGCTCTGGACATTGATGTGTGGGGTGGTGGGCAGGCCTACTGTGATTTTCACTGTAGTGATATTTAGCTGGGAAGTTTAGCCAGGACACCTCTGACATCAGGATCTTAATGAGGTCTTTTTATGTGTACTGGCCAGATTTCACAGAGAAGACTCTTCCTATATTCTGTTAGGATGGTGAAGATCTGGCTGCCAGGATTCAGTGAGCAAGGAGGATGTTGGTCTTTGTATCTATCACGTAAATGTTCCCCCTTTTGAGGATAGACCCCTGCCATCTATCGTATTAGTGTTCCTTGGTCTAGAGGCGCCATTTAACATATCTAAAATAAACAGCCACACACTTACTGAAATCATATCACATGTGCATTTTTAAAGAACAAATAACTTTATATTTCATTTGTATAACATTTTATTGTTTGCATTTGCATAGTGAAAAGAACAGAGTCAGAAGACTCATGGTCTGGCTCAACCACTAAATTGCTATGTGAATTGGGTAGATCTCTTAACCTTGCTAAACCCTTTTTCCTCTTCTGAAAAATGGAGATGAGAATAATAATTATTTTACAGAACTGCTATATATTGAATGAGATAGTTATACTGTTTTCCTCTCAAGTAACTGGTCAGAATAATTCTATAGTTTGCTATTGCCAATGCTAACTGTTCTCAATGACTGCATTAAGACAACAGGTACCGATGTAACACTTTAATTTTGAATATTAACAATAGCAAGAGAAAAGTAAACTAAAAAATGACCCATCCTTTCTTATTTTTAGAATACTGGCTTTTACAATACTTATTTATACTATCCCATCAGGAATTCAATTCATTTAAAGATCTTTTTCTTCTTAAACCTACTCAAAATGAACACCTACATATATGAAAAGCCCAAGATTATATGTGTAATTACTTTACAATTTCCCCTCTGGCATAGTATAAGTAAAATAGATATCGTGGGTAGTTAAATACTGCCCCCCTCATTAGGGATGATAATATATATGAAGATTAATTTCTTATGTATTATCCCTAATGTAAAAAAAAAATCACAGGTATATTATACTGCTTGTCAAGAATACATACACATGGTAGTCACATGAAGACATACACACTCCATTCTAAGGATATTTCAACCATCATCAATATTTTCTGTAAGGGTACAACTATTTGTATTAATAGTTGAAAACACAAAACTCTCTTTAAAGGTAATTCTGCAGGAAATTGTATTACAAAATACTTTTGTTAAACAAAATTGCTTGTATGTATTGGAACTTCCAAACAAAGTACGACTTTTAAAAGGTAAACAAAATTTTTATACATTATAAAACAATTTAAGCTGCTCTGCAACCCTCCTTTGCTAAAAGTTAGATACATTACACCACTCCAGCAAGAGATTAATAAATAAAGATTAAATATTCTATTTTACAAAAACATACAGAATGGCCAATATAAAAGTGAAAGCTTATTTGATAATTTCTTTATCAAATTATGTTCATTAAGAAGGAGTAACACATGGTATAAAATGATAAAATGGTAACTAAATTTATCTCTCAAGATAATCATGAGTTATCTAAAAATACCATGGCACCCTTGTTACAAACATTATTTTTTTTAAAAAAGACTGTGTTTCCTGGAACTAGAGTACTATTTGTCTCATAGCTTTTATTAAGCAAACTTGATATAACCACCACACAGTGGCAAGAGATAGACTAGCTGTTTCCAGCTGTAGAAAATACTGAATTCTACCCTAAAGTACAGATCATTTGAGATATAACCCATAACAATTAAAGCAAGTCCTAGTGCAGTTTGTACTGAATTTCCTTAAAATACTTTTGCTTTCAATAGAGTATATTCATTTTCCTGTCATTTGAGATCAGTTTCTGTTGCTTAGTAACTGTTTTCGTGTCCAGCCAAGATGTAGAGATTGCTGTGTGCAGTAGGATTTTCTGTTGGCCTACTTTCCAAAACGACAACCCTGCAATTAAACCAAAACAAAAGGTTCATAAAGTTACATAAAGATTACAGATACACTATCAAATTCAGCTTTACATTTTAAAGCTTAAAAACCCAACTGGAAATAATATTGAAATATTGAAAATATTTTAGTCTATCTTATTCCAACTAAAACCAAACTTGCTTAGTCATATATGTTAAGAAAAGGTATAGTAATGCTTTAGGAATTTACACTAACAGGAAGAGGATGGAAGAAAGGCTGAGAGAATAAAATAGGACTCTAAGAGATACTCATTCAAACTGTTCTTCTAGGTATCAGAAAATAAATGATTAAAAAAAAGTATGAAATGAGGCTCCTCTCCTTTGTCACTGGAAAAGGTAAGGAAAGCAGTCTAATCAAAAGACTGACAGAAAGAAAGAAAAAAAAATCAATCTAGTGCCATACCACAGCATTTTAATTGTGGGGAAGAAGAGTTTGAGAACAAACTAAAAAATAATATACCTATGCAGAGAAAAAAGTCTAGAGGGGGAGTAGGAGGAGAGACTGTACATATACTTTATATTTTTCTAGTATGTAAATTTTCTACAACTAGCTTATTACTTTTATAATAAATAAAAAAGTAATATATACTTTATATTATACATTACAGAAAAGTAGAAGGGTAAAATAAAATTACCTATAATCCAACTGCCCAGTTAAACACTATTAATATTTTGACATAGTTAGGGTTTTTTTGTTTTTTTTTTTTTTGTTAAATATAAACAACTATATTTAAACAAAATAAATTTTCAACCACTTTTAAAGTCAAGACAAAACAAAAACTTTGGTTAAGATATCTATCTTAAAATCAGGGAGATGCTCAAGTAAAACGATAAGTAGAATAAGGCAGTGGTCTGAAAAAAGTTATTTATTTATTTATTTTTTTTTAGAACAAATAGTGGGCTGGGCGTGGTGGCTCACGCCTGTAATCCTAGCACTCCGGGAGGCCGAGGTGGGTGGATTGTTTGAGCTCAGGAGTTTGAGACCAGCCTGAGCAAGAGCAAGACCCCCTCTCTACTAAAATTAGAAAGAAATTAATCGGCCAACTAAAAATATATAGAAAAAATTAGCTGGGCATGGTGGCGCATGCCTGTAGTCCCAGCTACTCGGGAGGCTGAGGCAGGAGGATCACTTAAGCCCAAGAGTTTGAGGTTGCTGTGAGCTAGGCTGACACCACGGCACTCACTCTAGCCCGGGTAAAAGAGTGAGACTCTGTCTCAAAAAAAAAAAAAAAAAAAAAAAAAGAGCAAATAGTGAAAGAAAGTGGAGAGAATACGGACAAAGAAGGGAATAGTGAAGAAGAAAACTCTGGGAAGAAGAGGCGGAAGGAAACAAGCAACTGAGAAAAACGGCTTCTGATACCAACCCCCTACCAAGCAGAATTCTCTGACACTATGTCTCATTAAAATGTGTTATTTGCACCAGGATCATTGGATGATCCATAATTCAGAAGCAAAGAGACTCCCCATCTAGTTCTAGAGTCATTTACCAGGTGATCCTCAAATTCTTTCTTTCTTACTTTTTTTTTCTTGCTGGACTAATAACTAAGTTGCCAACCTTGGTGGGCCTACCTTTTCTATTCACTAAGGTAGTCATCATTTTTCAAAAAAAATCCCTTTTCTCCTTATAAAACTCTCTTCAAAATTTTTTGGAGTTGTAACTCCAGACCCTCCCTTCCACAAGTGTCTAATATCTAAGCAATAAATGTGTGGACTTCAAATCTGGAGGTTCTCAATCCTTGTTTCAGAACTAATACATACTACTATAGCCAGTTTTGCTGCACTGACAACTTCTAGTGGGAAAACAGGAAGGAATGGGTATTTTGTTAGTTATAGAGGTAGACAATAGACTTTGGAGAACAAAGGCTATTAAATTTTTTTGGTTAAGATGGTACAGTTTTGGAACTTATTCATTTTGATCACAAAGAGGCCTCATAATTCCTTCTAACTTAGATTGACCTTGGAAACTGAGTCGAACATTTTCTGATATAAAAGCAAATATCAAGAGATACATATTTGTAATAGTTAATAGAAGGTAACACACCAGGAAGAAATGCTGAAAACAAAGGGGCCTGAAATATATGTCATAGTACTAGGGACATAAACACCTACATTAACACATTTTGTCTTGGTTGAGTATGACCTCTAGAATCATAGGACACTATGTCAGTGAGGACACTGACAAAAGATTGCCTAATCAACTTATTAAAATATCCACTCTCGATAAAGATATGGAGAAATTTCTCTAGGTCAATGAATCCTCTAAGAGTTCTGTTTGAAAGACATTTATAGGCTGAGAGTATAATTAAGAGCACAACCGTTGAACTCCTTTGGTAATTAAATTAATACAACCAAACTATTACCTGTCTGATCCTAATAAGCGGAAAACTCTTGTTTCGTCTGAAATCTCCTGGGTAACCTATCAAAGAAAATAAATATTAGTTACATTTTAGTTCCCATAGTGCTTGAATAATTTAAAAATAATTTAGAGCAATTATTAAACAGAATGAATAATTTTTGATACACTCACTTCCTTAAATAAAATAAATTTCATTAAGTTTTTTTGGCTGCTTATTAGTAGAAATGAACAAATATTTAGGGAATATTTGGCATGGGTCACCACTCTCCTAAGAAGAACTCTTTGGGATATGCATTATAATTCTCATATTATTGAGGAAGAAACTAAGATTCAGAGAGGTTAAGTAACTTGTTCAAGGTCATATAACTGGTAGAATCAAGATTTGAATCCAGGTTTGCAAGACTGGAGTCCCTGCTCTTTCCTTTATATCACAGTGCAGATGTTTGAGGTGGCACCCCATGGCCCATCTGATTTCAGCATAGCTGTGGTGGACAGTCTCCCGTACAGTGTCTCATCATAGTGTATACTATGGTATACTCTGCTCTGCTTTCTCCAAAGCTGCTCAGCCATGTGCAGGTACTATCCCAAAGTGTGGGGAGCTTTTATCCACAGGGGCAACTCTTAACCAACATGGGATAAGAGCTGGCACATAAATGCTCCAGCTTCCCCACATACAAATGAGTCAATTCTGAGGTGTCCTCCACCCCATTCCTCAATGGTCTACTGGATTAAGCCCTGGTTGCCCACAGTGAGAACCAGCTTATTAATGTGCTCTTTATTGGCTTTTTGCTCCTCTCCATTTTACATTCTTCAGTCCAGCACTTATTTTCTGGAATCTACTCCCAAATAAACTACCTGCACTTGAGTCCTTGTCTGCTTTTAGAGGAATCCAAACTAAGACAATATGGACATAGTATAAAAATAGTCTGGTATCAAGGAGTTTTCAGTTTAGCTAAGACAGAATTAATAAACTTGAATCAGAAAATAAATTAGGTGCTATGCTAGGTAGAGCTGATTTTTAGAGTATTAAGTTCAGAGATGTTCCAATCATTGTGGACTGGAGTGGCTGAATATTACCTTATGAAAGAGGTTAAGATTTCACCTAGGCCCAACCTGAAGGATGAGAACGTAAGCAGAAAGAAAGAGCTAAGCAAGATGAGTTATTATTAATATAATGGAGACTTGGGAAATAGAATTAGTGCTTGATATGGTGAGAAACAGGTATCTTCTGTAGAATTCTAATCACAGGAGTGACACAATGAAAATAGCATTTAAGAATAATTAACCTACGATAGTAAGTATGACTGTAAGTTTCATCAAGTATAGGGACCTGGTGACATTTAGTGACATGGGTCAATAACTAGATAAATTGAAATATTCAAAGCAGATTGATGTCATTTTCTCCTGAAAGCATTCTAATTCTACATTCATATAAAAGGTGGCAATATTTATTTATATATAAATAAGAGTGTGTATAAAACTAAAGGTAAATTCAAATAGAAGATGCTTTTGAGCTTTAAGGTAAGTTCACAAATTTGTGAGGCCATGGTGCAGAAGAATCACACAGGTAATCACATATATGGGAAATGTCACTGTTAGTACTATCGTAATTATTAGGATTCATCTCTCAAGTTGGAAGCCCAAATTTCATCTCCTGCATCAAATGTATCCTGATTATCTCAGCTAGAAGTGATTTATGGAAACCCTTCAAATCTAGGCTCTGCCACTCTAGGCAAGTTACTTGAACACTCCGTGCCTATAAATTTGGGAATATGAATAGTATCTATCTCTTCTGAATTATTTTGAGCCTTAAATGAGCTAATATTTGGAAAGTGCTTAGAACATAATAGGTGTTACCTAAGCATTTGATATTATTTACAATATCAAAACATAGTTGGTACTCTACTAAATGAGTTATTTTCTTAGATTTTCCTTAGTTCTGTGATTCACTACATATTAATTTGGAATTTTAAATATAATATTAAAAAAGAAGCTACATATTTATAGATTATGGAAAATGCTTATTAAATTTAGGAAAGTTTAGCAAACTTAGCAACCATATCTACAGATTACTTTAGAGGAATGAAATTGTGTAAACTTAACATTTTGCAATTCCTTATGGCCACTGAGAATTTCAAAATACAATACAAAAGACAACGTATTTGAAAGGAAAATACTGGCTCTTTGTTCTACCAGTTCATAGCATTAAAGGCACTAAACACAGTAATGTAGGCTCAGGAAGGAAATGCATAAAATGAACATTTCAACATCTTAAATCGTTAGTGAGAGTCAGTGAAGGTAATTTGAGAAATCTTACCTCATCTGACTTGAAGCTTTTTCCCTGCATCCCATGTTTCCAGAAAGCCAACACACTGTCTTGAAGGCATACTAAAAAAGATAAGGGAGAACTGAAACTAAAATAAAGCACAGTATTTCACTACAAATTTCCCTTAACTTTTTAATCAATGATAACATAAGGCTATTCAAGAGCCTAGTGCAAAATTCCACTTTATTTCTCAATATTTTTGTGACTAAGACATGCCTAAGCTCAAGTAATTTACTGAGGCAAGGTTATGCAAATTTTCAAAGATATATATATATATATTAATATAATTGGCATTTATTTAAACATGGGCTAACTTCTGATAAGTTGGATACTGGTATATAAATTTGTCTTTCAAATGCTGTATCTTTTGTTTTTTAAATGAATAAAATCATAAAAACATATATAATTGAGTTTTTGGATAAAAAACATTGTTATTTAAATATTGTTATACATTCAGAAGTAGCTATTAAGCAAACATCTTTTATTTATGTTTACATTTTCCTTATTACAAAATTAATTTTTAAAAACAAGCCCCCACAACCCAAAATTTAACCCCATATTGAATATTTAGGATCTGTGAGTCAATTCTTATATAAAATTCTTAGTATTTAACCAACTCTTATAATGTAAGTATTAGAGATAATTAAGTAGAATTAGAAAAACATAAATAAAGGTAATGGACGAAAGTGACTGAAAATTATTTATGTTTCTTATTAGAATACTGGCTGTGTAAAAAGTTAATGCAAGAATATTCTGGGAAGATAATTTAGCTCAATAAAAATAAAAGTAGTTGACAATGACAAATCACATGTGTTTCACTAACTGTGACAAATAAAAAACCCAGTTACTGGTTTTATTTTTAAGAGGTGATTGAAAGGTATTCTTTTATCCAAGAGGATCCTTGTAATTATCCCAAGGTTTACTGGCAAGAAAAGATGGTGGCCTAGGATGAACAAACTTTTGTGAAACAATTACGATTTCCTAAATAATTTGGCACATCTGAAAAAGTTAAGGGACTAGTGTATTTCCATGAAAGTGAAAAGGAACTAAGGATCTACATATGTTAGAATCTCTCTTGAAAATATTAAATCTTAACAACTGGCATATAATATCCAGTACACAAAATAGTAAAAGAAAAAACTAGTTTCCAAAATTCCTTTTGTCCTGGTATCTACAGAAAGTTAAGGTTTTCTGCTTTAATAAATTAAATTTCCCAATCATGAGCAAAATATTTTTATGTAAGATGTTACACAGAGGCATGAACGTATTTTGTGATAGAGCAAATCTCCAGTTGAGAAACTCATATTAAAACGCTGCAATACTTTTCTTTGATTTATGGTAGAATTATATCATGAATTGTTTAAAATGTTTCCAGCCAAGATTGATTTTTCACAAGTTCTATTATTAATACTTCTGGGGAAAATACTGACATATAATCAATGAGAATGCAACAATGATAAACTATTAATATAATTTTTATCATAAAACCAGTGCGTATTACAGAGTAAAACACTCACTGACAAGAAAGTAAATTAAAATGACATACTAGTTTACAAGTCCTGTGGGAAACTAGCATTTATATATAAATAGAATTAAAAGCAGTAACATCAACACAAACCAACCAGAATCTTACATGGCAAAGAATTATAACATATCTAACACCATTATCACATCACACAAATACCTTCATGATTTGGAAAGAATTGGGAGAAGTATAATTCACTTGATGCAGCAAAGGGAATAATGAACAGAAATTTAAAAAATGATTATAAGTTTTAAATATTCAGGAAACAACAATAAAAGATTTAATGATCTGGACCTGCACTGCCCATTATGGCAGCAACTAGTCAGATGTGGCTATTTACATTACACTTTAAATTAAAATTTTAAAAATTAAAATTAAAATGTAGCACTAGCCATGCTCAGGTGCTTAACAGTCACATGTGTTTAATGGCTGCTTGTATTTAAGAGCACAGATAGAGAACATATCTATCTTCATAGAAAGTTCTGTGAGACAACAAGTATTTTAATGAACTAATAATAGAATAAACAACAACAAAAAACTAAGTATCCCAAACTCGTTAATAAAAAAAGGAGACTTACCTACAGATTCAATGCGAAAATCAAAACTTAGCTCAGAGGCCAGTTTCTTACTTGATTTTAGTTTTCCTTGTAGATTTACAATTTTTACAAATTCTTAAAAAAATAAAAAACAAGTCAAGATTGGAAATGCAAATCTGCTAGAATAAATGTAACTTGACAAATATGGATTTTACATGAACATCAAATAATATTCTTAATAAAGTTCAACTATTTATCTTGATTTAAGCATGCTGAATGGTGAAAAATCACCAATATGTTTTAAAAGATGTACTGTAAGGGTGCCTCCTTTGGTAAATGGCAGTTCTGCTGCTGTTTTCTTTTTTATACAGTATACTGAATATTTACATTCTAATTTTTTTAAAAGTACATTTCTTCTTTAAAAGTGCTTACCTTAGTGCCCAAATATTTAGCCATAGAGTTGATTTTTTCCCTCAAAATTATACTACATATGATAAATAATATTTGCAGTAATTAATAACTTTACTATGAGTTCTATTCCGCAAAGTGTTAAACAGGGGCAAGAAAGAGTACCCTCAAGAATAAAAACTCTGGGATAGGGAGCATACATAAATAATTCTATTTCCCTTTTGTGCATTTGTTTTTTAATTTCACCATCTTAGGTCTGTGTTGGAAGATACCTTTTCTCTGCGTTGCTTTCTCATCTGTCTACTACCATGATTTGATATTACAGGATTATCTCCATTGCTGCCTACTAACACCAACTTATAAATTGTATAGCTGATGACAACTTTTCAGTCTTCTGCCTCCTTAAAAAATAGAAATCTCAATTATCTATTTACCTTGATTAATTGGGAAATGGAGGGCCCTAGTTAATCGGTGGTTTTTAAAAAATTATGATACAATATATAAATCACCAAAATGAAAACTAAGCACAATTTATTTTCCTTTGATGACTCAGAAGGTATTTAGGGATTTAATGTTAAATGCTCAGCTTTATTAAAATAAATTCTGATTATCTAATTATTTGGCTAATTAGTACGGATTTTCTATTTGTTTGGATAAAAAAAGAATTTATCTAATTAACTTAAGGGTAACTGAGTAACATTTTTATCAGTATTCAGAGAATCAAAGGTCCTAACAAAGTGATGATGGTGAATGAAACACTGTGGGTTTTAGTCTGCTCATGTATATAATATTAGATAATCTTTATGACTCTGTAAGGTAAATCTACTAGGGAACCATTCAGAGAATAGAAATTAGGACAGAAAAACAGGCAAAACCACTAGTAAAACAATCTTTAAAATAACCCTGAACACCTGTGGGCAGCAATTAAAAAAAAATTAGAATAGACTGATTATATGAAATATTGCCAAGTTTCAAATATAATCCCAAGCCTGGGCAAATTCTACCTTGTAGGATTCATTGCATAAAAATAAGGTCGATTTTAAGAACCAGAGTGCTTTGGTCGCAAAATCAAAATAATACCTGTTGCTAAAGTTTTTTCTCTTTCTCTACTGCTCACAGTACAACACACTTCTGTCAATAATATCTCTCCCTGCATCCAAAGAATCAGAATTAGCAAGTGGAGGTGTTCAATCCATAAGTACATTAGAATTACACTCTGACATGACTCCAAAAGTTCATGTAATGTGACTATAAGTGACCATATTAATATAATCTATTTTTCATTAATTATAATGAGATACGAGATAGAATAGTTTTTTGGTAGAATTTTACCCCAAGGTTATAGCAAATAGTTCTAATAGAATGTTTCCAAGCAGGCCAAATATAAAATAAAAAGTTAACAGAGGATAGTACTAACAGATCAATTAATTATGCATTTGTAGCCAGTTTAGGTTTTCTTCAATAAAACCAAGCCACTTAAGGTAGAAAAGTGAAAATATTGAATATAGTTTAAACAGAATAAATTTCATTGAAATAATTATTTTATCAAGTAGTATACTCAAAATAAACTTTAAAATAGTACTTACTGTCTAAACACACTAAAACGGTGTCTCTCTCCAACTGTGTTACATGAATGGAATCTAACTGCTGGCTGCCTTAGGGGAGAAAAAACAAGGTTACAGTTATACCATATGCTTTTAAAAACTAGAGCTAGAAAATAAACACAAATTCTGACTTTTGCTGTGATTTAAAATTAGTTTGAAATTTAACAGAGAAATTACATTTTGCAATATGTTATCTTTCAAAAAATGTAAGTCAATTTAGGGGAACAAATATAAGTCTTAATATGGCTGGGATGAGGAAAACTGAATATTACACTTAATATGTTGACTAGCTCTAGAAAGGTAAGTTACAAAAATAAAATAAAACAAAGGGGAAATATGGGGAGGAAAGTAAGATGCATGTTATATACAATGGCTAGATTTTGCTTTGCATTCATTTTACACAGCCAATGGGAAATGGAAATAAGATCAGTTAGGTGAATCACAGCATCCTTGAAATAAAAATAAGCTAGTGATTCAAAAAAAAGCCCAAGAATTAATGAAACTATAATCAGAGAGAAATTTTCCTGGTGTAGGTATATGTTTGTAGCTGGGTGGGAGTTCTTGTATAAAGAGGACACCGAGTGCCATAACGAACAACAATGTCAACATCTTTGTAGGATGCAGCTCTAATCACTTTGCTGATATACAATAGGGCTGCTTCTTTTGACATTGGCTAATAGATGTGATAACACTTGTAAAACATTTTTTTGTAAAACTTCATTTTAAGCACTCAGGTTGCTTGAATGGTCTAGCTGAATGAATCTAAGAAAAGATGTTAGATTATTTAGAGTAGTCATTCTTAATTATACCTCTTTGGGAAGCCCATGGACCTTCTCCCCTGAAAATGACACATTCAAACATAAACACACAATTTTATGTAATATTTTGGGGTGTCTGTGAACCTTCCAAAGCCCATACATGGTGAAGAATAGAGATCTGCAGAATCAATAAACCATCCCTCAGGCAACACTCCAAAAACAGTCTTTCTCAGCTAATCTATGTTCATGTACTCATTCAACAAATATTTATTGAGTGTTGACCACATGCTGAGCACCATCCGTGGAGATAAGGATACTGCAATAATAAATCAGACTAAGGCTAAAGAGTCTTTGAATAGAAGCTCATTTTAACATTATAACTGTGGCCAGTTCAAGGCATATCCTCTTGGTTCAACAATGAACACTGCTGGGAGCTGGATTAACAAATCACTTGTGAAAATGGAGAAACCTAATGAGGACAAAGTGCTGGACTTAAAAGGCTGCCTCACTTCTGCTTAAGGGTGATTTGATTACCCTCAGGCAGAGCCCTGGCTCTCCTCAGGAAGTTAATTTTGCATCTGCTTTAATTTTAACCAAATCAATGCTTTTTTTTTTTTTTTTTTTTTTAAGAGACAGGGTCTTGCTGTATCACCTAGGCTGGAGTGCAGTGGCACAACCATAACTCACTGCAGCCTTGAACTGGTCTCAAGTGATTGTCCTGCCTCAGCCTCCTAAGTAGCTGGGACTACACGTGTGCACCACCAAGCCTGGCTAATTTTTAAATTTTTTGTTAGAGATGAGATCTTGCAATGTTGCCCAGGCTCGTCTCAAACTCCTGGCCAAAAGTGATCCTTCCACCTCAGCCTCCCAAAGTGCTATATTACAGGTGTGAGCTACCGTGCCCAGTCAAAACAATGTTAAAAATAGATAGAAGAGTACATCTCAGGCATTTAAAAAACAAACAAAACAAACAACAAAACCCTCAAAAAAACTCCAAAACTTAAACCCTAAAACTTAAAGAGAGGACTCACTGAATGTCTAGCCTTGAACAATGTAATATTCTAATATATCACCCAGAAGAAAGTGGTTGCAAAGTACACTAGATAACTGTATGAAATAGCCTGCTCTATACTATATTAACCAATAAAAAAAAGCTGTGTTGCCAGCCAAAGATCATTTTAAAATAAATTGATCTATAACCCCTTTGAGCTGTAACTACATAACAGGAATATATCATGATAACAAAGCAATGCCATTTGCACCTTTCTGTTAGCTACAGCAGAAGGGCATGAATTCAACTCAACCAAAAGCATTAAACAATCAGTTAAAAAAGAAAGGCAGGGTGTGGGGTGTGGTGGAAGGTACAGGATATAACTTGGTCCATTGAAGGGAGTGTTCATAGCCCAGTACGTGATGGCGTTAGCATGTACTGGGGCTGTTAAATTTTCAGGAATTTTCTGAGCTGCATGATATCAGGTTGGTAGCTTGAAACTAGTTATGGTTGGAGTATTTATACCACAGAAATGGCAACTGCAACAAATGGTTATACCCCAAGAGCCTGTTGTTAAACATTTACTAGGATACCACTGGTTCATACTGATTCTTATTCTGAAAGTGACATCAGTGTAATGATTTCTTATAATTCATTCTATAAATGATCAAAAGACAAAGTTTATTTAATGAAAATCATCAAACTTATGTAATAGACTTCTTCACCAGGTGGTAAAGAATAAAACAGTGGCCAGTAAAATAGCCATAACTAAAGCTTGCTTGACTTCATATGTAAAAATGGCCTAATAAACCTGGATTATAAATGACAAGCACAACAAACAAAAAAATGGCAAAATGAAGATCCGCCCCATCTGAAAAATGAATTCTTGATTGATCTGTCCTAATTTTAAAGTTCGAGAATAAACTTCACAATCTTTTCAGAGCCTTTATTGAGTCATGTTTGGTTTAGATGGAAAAGCCTGAAGGCCACACCAAGAAGCTTCTATTCAAGTTTGAAAAGCTCACTCAATGATTCTAAGAAGTGAGGGGAAAAAGGATAAAACAGGATAGGGAAAAAAGGTAACTCTCTTTGCTTGAGAAGCTGATAAAATTTTAACAGAATCTTAGAAAACATAATTATTTGGCAAGTCCAAAGACTAGTAGTAACTAAAACCTTTATATGTCAGGAATCATTAAAATTTTCCTTAGTAAAATAATTTGTTTCAAACTACCTCTGGCAAATAGAGATCATAAATATATGTACATGATTCTCTGGGCTTACTTTGGGAACTATGTTCTAAATCTTTATTTAAGAAGAGCCCACACTGGTTGAACTTAGGTGTTCTGCTTCTTTTATATGCAAAAGGTAACATAAGGTAAAAAATACTTACCTGCACCAATTTCTGTAAACCATGAAGATGCAGAGTTCAAATTGATTGTCTCAAACTGAACTACCTGATTTGATTCGGTGCCTTTGCTAATAGCTACACAGACCATTGGATATTCCTGTTCCGGTATCACCAGCATTTCAAAAACATTCAAAGGACTTGGCAAAGGAAAATCAAAGTGCTGCAAAAAATAAACAACAGAATTATAATTTAGAATCAATCCTCCCATTCATCCTGTTGTTGAATTAAGTCAAAGGAAAGACTTTCATACTCTTGATTTATCAAATTCTAAAAATGACTACTCTAAGATGATAATAGGATAAATGTTTTTAAAAAATGTTTTACAGACTTGGTCATATTAATCTTTATGAATGATGGTTCTAGAAGTTAAGTAATATGAGTTAAAGAGGAAATCTTAACAAGAACACAAAATCCTTAAATCAAATAAACAATTATAAATATCTATAAATGTTCTTACTTTTACTTACTAGATCGTAGTAATAGGATCTTACAATTTTACCTTCATTTACACAGTAAGTGTTTTCTAAAGAAAAGAAACATTAAGTAATACATACCTTAATCAACATGAATTTCTGCATTGGCTCATACCACTGAAGTAAAACAATTCCAGACTGTAAAGCTCCACAGAGGTATTTATGTCCTGTATAAGGGTTTCTGACTGGAAACAGACAAAAAAACCCAGACACATCTAAAACATTGGGTACTTTTATATGAGAACAGTTTAGCTAAAAGCAACAACTGATCTACACTCACCTAAAAGATAAATTAGCTTTCTTTACAAAAGGAAAGAACAATGAAATGTGATCTGACAACAATACCAAAATATACATGGAAGAAACTACTTGAAGTGATTATTTAGCTGATAAAGAAAAATTATTGGGTCTGTTAACTAGAATGACAAGAGTGAGCAGAAAGCAAAGAAAGATGATGGTGTCTTTTTCTTTTGGCTTTGTTATCCTTTTCTTTTTACTTTCTTATCTCAACTTGAAATTATATTTAAATTCTAAACACCTTTAATATACCAGGTTCTCAAACACAGAAATTTTTGATAAGAATAATATGTTATGCAATAAAACTTCTAAATTAGTATACAAGCCAAAAAGCTACTTCTTAAGTAAATTAAAAGAATGAGTTCTGACAAGGTCCAGGTAGCAATTAAAATGCAAGATCTCATTTTTGGAATAGTAGTTTACAGATGTCTGGTTAAGACATATGAAAATAATTATTAATAATTCATCTTGATATAACTTCCTTGACTCACATCACAAAAACTCGCATTGGTCTTTCCTTCTTCCTAATTTGACTCCCACCACCAATAATATATATTGATTATAAGAGCAGTTATTTGCATTAAGCTCTAATGTATTATCTTAATGTTTATATTTTGGATTGTAAGCTTCTAGACCTTTTTTGAGTCATATACCTTGAGAATCTGATAACAGATATGGACATGATTCTCCCTAAACAAATGATCATGAGACGTGCTTATACTTGGAGCACATTTGTGGTTAACGTTTTTGTTCTAGAATATGGACTATGCTGTGAAACTATTATGTAGCATGAAGATCAATGTGTAGCTCATTGATCAAACAAAAGAATAAACAGAAAGTTAGAAGCCCAAGATCTGCAGTCATTGGACTTGGATCTGATTTCCTGTTCTGTTACTTACTACTGACATAATCAGTATCATGGAGTTGTTTAAGGGTTAAGTGAAATAATTATATAGCAAAGAATTCAATCTTGCCCAAAAAGAGGTCTAGCCTCTGTTGTCCCACTTCTGGGAGGTAATCTCTAAGCCTCTGGAATTTCATGCTTGATAGGAGTGTGTTTGTCTGGGGGCCTCAGATCAGTGAATATTATAATAATATGATTTAGGGTGGGGGCTTTGGGTCATGCAGTCTCAGTTGATCTCCAGAGGGGCTGGATACTGAGATCAGTAGTGTGGGCAATCAATCATGCCTTCATGATGGAGCCTCAATAAAAACTCTGGACAGTTAGGCTCAAATAAGCTTTCCTGGTTGGCAATGCTTTTAAAGTAATACCGTTCATTATTCCATAGGGAAAGAACAACAGAAACTCCACATTTGGCAATTTTTGTGGACTCTGCCCTATACACTTCTTCCCTTGGCTGGTTTTAATCTGTATCCTTTCCTTATAATAAACTGTAATCATAACCATGAGTGTAACAGCTTTCAGTGAGTTCTGTCATACCTTCTAGAGAATTTTTGAATCTGTGGGTATTTTTGGGAATCCCCAACTTGCAACTAGTATCAGAAGTGTGGGTGGCCTTGTGTGGACTGTTCCCTTTAACTTCATAGTTAGCTAAACTCCTGTAACAATGTTCACAAAGCACTAGTAGTAACTGGTAGATGGTAAATGGTTAAATGTTAAATAAATGAAAGCTAGGATATTAGCAGAGATACAACCTCAGGAAATATGGTTACAAAACTCTAGAAGTACTATGCTCTGAGTAAACACTAAATCTACTACCTCCAAGCATTTCTATGCCAAGTTTCTCTATACATTCTTGTGCTTCACTGGCACTTTAACTCCTTACTAAAAACAAGTAAAAAACCTACTTTCCTTCCTATTTGATTCTGTAAGCCTCCAGGTAATTTTAAAGATGTTACACGTTCTAACCATCTAGTTTGAGAAACAGCATTTACTCACCTATGCAACATTTGTGGCAGCCTTTTGTATCAGGAATCTTTGTTGTTAAAGCAAACTTTCTGAAAACATAAGACAATATCAGTGTATGGACTCTACAGCAGTGGTAGCCATATAGCGATTTGTGAATCAGCTGCATCAGAATCAGACAGGAAGGAGCTTTTAAAAAACTGTCTTGGACACTGACTCTAGACTATCTGATTTTATAGGACTGAGGTAGGACATGAGAATCTGTGTTATAAAACTTCCATAGGTGATTTTCACACACGGTCAAATTCAAAAAACACTGAGCTTTTACATTCTAGACGATATATACTTTAATGTAAACTACCTTTGAAAATTAAGACAAAGAAAGTTTTTTTACTGGGCAAAGAATATTGGCTTGTCTTAAAAATGAACACTACTTCCCCTTACTCTCAGTAGAATCAAAATGATATTTCGTACCTTGGTAGTATGCGGTCTGGAAACCTATGAGTTTGAATATGAGCAGCTAATCCTGGTTTTTTGGCTTGTTCAAATAAAGCTATAAGATTATGAGAATAGAGTTGAAAGGTTTTTCCTATAAAAAAAAAGGTTACTTTTATTAGAATCATTTATGGTGGAGAAATAACAATTTTTTAAGAAAAAGAGAACATAATTACCTTCTAAAATGAGGAGTCCAGTAATGTTCAAAAAGCCAAGCAAAATAGAAAAACACATACAAAAAAATTCAGTTAGTACTATTTTGAAAGATAATAATAGGTAAACTCATTTTTTAAGCAAGTAATTGTTTCATAATATATAAAATTGGATATATTATGACTAATAAATTATCTAGGCAAAATAAACTCTAATGATGCCAGCACAGAAAAAGAAATTGTTAAATATTGTTGTGTAAAACCTTGTCATGGACTGAATTACAATGATGTACATGGGATTATTTTAATATAACATGGAAGATTCTATAAAACTATATTATCAGTATTTCTCAAGGATAGACCTCTTTATCAAATTACCGTGGCTTGGATTAAAACTGAGTGTTTTAAATATAACAGATTGATATACTAAGAAAAGTAAAGCAAACCAATATTATAAGCCACAATACAAGGACAACAGGCCTAAATTTCATATAATCAAAAACATAACCATGTTAAGTGGGTGGGGAGTGGGGGTGGAGAAGATACGGTAAACAACTTCTTCTGATTCCTTATTATACATGGTATGGTAATATAACAACACAAAACAATATTTATATTTTTATTATTAGACATACCAGACATTTTTATTATTAGACATTTATTAAACATAAATATATGGAGTCTTACCCTCAACAAAATTCTCTGCATTTTCTCAGAATAGAAACATTCTGCCTAACACTATACTATCCTTCCTCTCTCCATTGCCCCTATATATATATAGTTTGCTATGTAGCTAGCTAGGCAATTAAACACACATGTACATGCATCTGAATGTTTTCTCCTATTGAGTTCTGCCACCTACATTCTTCCAGTTTTATGGGTCATTTTAACTACAGTAAAGAAAAAACTAATTTATAAGCCAATGTTTCCCTGCATTCCCACAGTTATGTTATAAATATGTAAGATATACCCTGTGTAATTTTAAAGCTTATTTCCAAAGACAAGTATGAGTAGAGATAAAAGCAGCAAGAGTTATAGAAAAATAGTTTTATATGTAAACAACTCAGAATTGTTATCTCAAACAGAATTGGCTTGATTTTCATAACAGTAATATATTAATATTTTGCTAAACAAAATTAAAAAAGATTTGTGGGAAGCATAATTAAACTTAAAGATTTAAGTACTCCTTTGAGGACCCCGCTTTTTGGAAACCATTTATGCATAATCAAATAATATGCTCTTCATAAACATTGCCTTTAGCTCAAATATATAGATTCCTAAGAAATCTCTACTAGAGAGAAATAATAATTCACTATCTTGTATTCTACTATCAGAATTAAAGCAACCAGTAAACTTCTAGGTAGCTATTTAAATCTAAAATGTAAGAAAATATTTTTTCTTAGGTAAGAAATTTTTTGATAGGTAAGAATTCTTAAAAAGCCAAAAATACCCCCATACCCACTCACCCCTAACAATAACCAAAAAAGAAAAATGCAAAAAAAATTAGAGGTTACTCTGGAATTAACTTGTTTAGCAGACTTCAAAGCATCTGTCCAAGATAGCTAATATGTAATCCAGAACGTGAATTCCACCAGCAAACACTGTATAAGACTGCACAGTTTATTAAGCACTTTGGATATTATCTCATTTAACCCTCACAACCTTGTGAGGCTGTTAGTGTGACCCCATCATCCTCATTTTATAAATAAGACAACTGAGGCTGAGAGAGTGTAAGTGACTTGCTCAAGACCACAGAAAAAGGAAGCAGCTTGATCTTTTGCTTCTTTCCTTTCAACTGTTAATTCCCAGCGGAAGGCAGGAGTGGTGATAGTGATGGTGGAGGAGGCTGAGTGGAAGGGACTGGCCTCTGGTGACAATCACTGTGCCATCTCTCAGGTGTTTAGATGCTGGGTGGGTTTGGGAAGTGCTATCCTAACTAAAGACCTTCTCAAAAGTTTCTTCCCATCTTATATGGGCAGAAAATATCCACAAGTCCTAAAGTTACTATACTACATTATAGTTATCCAGAATTACAAATAACATTTTAAAATAGTGTATATTAAAATTACATTTCTCTGCCTGTTTATGATTTATTTTTCATTATCACATACATACCTGATAATGACATTAAAGTATTATTGATAACATACAGCCAAGTACACTTCCGTGGGAATAACTAAAGAAAATGAAGAAAAAGAAGATAATTAAAACACTTTGTCATTCTTTTAACCTCTTAGTCCTCCAAATTCCAACATTCTGAAATGGTATAAAAATAACTATCTTTTGTCTTTCAATAAATTACCAAA